CTTTTTTGTGTGTGTGTGTGTGTGTGTGTGTGTGTGTGTGTGTGTGTGTGTGTGTGTCTGTGTGTGTCTGTGTTTGTTTGTGGCAGGTGGCGGAACGAGTGAAGCTGTCAAAAACGCGCTCAGAATCGCTGCCAGCGGAGAGATCCGTCCTCGGCTCTGAAATCAGCAGCATCGGGGTGAGTTGAATGAGTTGCAAGACATTGTGGGGAAGACAAATGAAATGCAGTGAGAGGAGTATCAGGGTTTGAGTGCAGTAACAGCGGTGTCGAAGCGCACTGATCTGCTGGTTTAGTGTTGTTTCTGTGTGTCTCCTCAGGTGTCCAGTAACGTGGCTGAACACCTGGCTCATTCCCTTCAGGACTGCTCCAACATCCAGGAGATCTTCCAGACGCTCTACTCGCACGGATCCGCCATCTCCGAGAGCAAGATCCGCGAGTTCGAGGTGGAGACGGAGAGACTCAACAGGTTAGAGAGCGAGAAGATCTGCTGTTGAACCATAGGATTCACTCCAATCACTCGAAGTGAACTTCACTCAGTTACGTGTGTCTCCGCAGAGAATATTTCCACATCATACCAGTGGTGTTATTGCTAACTAAAACTATTTACTAAATATTTTTGTTAATTGAAATAAACTGAAAATAAAAAACAACTTTAAATTATATCATTTAAATTGATTTAATTTCTAATTTTTAAGTAAAAAAATTACTAAAACCCAAACTGAAATGGAAATAAATTAAAGTTACATAGAAATATAAAAAACTAACAAAATGACAAAAGCAGATAATAAAATTACTAAAACTGAAATAAAATGAAATTAAGTTGAAGGTGAAGTACTAAAATGACTAAAATGTTGAAGTACTAAACTAAAAATAAAATAAGCTAAATAGAAATATTAAAAACTAAAACTAATAAAAATTATAAAAGAATTCAAATTCAAATGTAATTGAAATTAAATAATGTTGAAGTACTTAAATGACTAAAACAAACTGAAATAAAATTGAGCTAAATAAAATAAAATGAGCTACAAAACTTCAAATTTAATGAACTGAAATAAAATAAATGTAATTTTTTAAGCTGAAGTACTAAAATGACTAAATCTCAAACTGAAATAAAAATAACCTAAATAGAAATATTTAAAAAAACAAAAACAAATAAAACTGACAAACATGCATAAAAATATGACTAAAACTTAAATAAAATTCAATCAAATTAAATAAGTTTAAGTTTTTAAAGTTTGCATTGAAGTACTAAAATGACAGACTCAAACTGAAATAATAAGCTTAATAGAAATAATAAAAAAAACTATAAAAACGACAAGCACATAACAAAATTGCTCACACTTAAACTAAAATTAAAAGGAAAATTGAAAAAAAGCTACTTCAAAATATTAATAAATGCTATAATAGTATATAAATATTACTGAAATTGCATTATACAGAAAATACCGAATTTGTGCTCCTCAAGTTGTCTCTGTCATTGCAGACCGTCCCAAACGAATGTGTTTTGTCAGCTGAAGTGAACATCTTCAGATATCCCTATACTGAGTGTGTAGGGAGCAGTGAACACTATGTAGGGACCCTGTGCATCTATCTGATCATGATTGCTGTGTGTGTTTCAGTCGTATCGAGCACCTGAAGTCTCAGAACGATCTGCTGACCATCACGCTGGAGGAGTGTAAGACTAACGCAGAGCGGATGAGCATGCTGGTGGGGAAATACGAGTCCAACGCCACCGCGCTCAGACTGGCCCTGCAGTACAGGTACACACACACAAACCACCTAATTACAGTCCGGTCCTAAACACACTCACATTCTGCTCGCGCTGCTGAAGACTGTTTCCGCTTCCTTTCAGACGGTTAATCGCTTTCAGTGTCATTATTTGATAAAAGTATCAGAGGTGGTGTGACCTGTGGATGAGTGTGATGAAAAGCTGCCGTATCGTTGGGGAAATCTCTGTCTGACACACACACACTCACTCACACACACTCACACACACACACACACCACTCTCTCTCACACACACTCTCACACACACACACACACACACACTCTCTCTCACACACACTCTCACACACACACACACACACTCTCACACGCACTCAGGGCTCATTTGTATTCATGAAGAGATTCAGTCTCTCAAATGCTGTTAGAGGAAGTGATGCAGATTTCAACTCACTTCTGCTTTGTAATATCCACCTTTCAGCATCCAATCAATTCCTGATGAATTAGATTAGAAAAATTTGATATTTTTTCTCCTCGAATGTCGCTAGTTTTATTGCCTTTCAAGCACTGTTATTCACTTTTAGGATATGTGCACTACTGGTAAGATTAATGTTTTTAAAATAAGTCTTTTATGCTTATCAAGCTGCATTTATTTGATCAAAAATACAGTAAAAATGTGTAATTATAATTTCAAATAGCTGTTTTCTATGTGGATATATTGTAAACTGTCATTTATTGCTGTGATCAAGGCTGAATTTTCAGCAGCTGTGCTGCTTCATATTTTTGTGGAAACCATGATACATTAGCATTAAAAAGTTTGAGGTAAAAAAGACAAAAAATAAATTAATACTTTTATTCAGCAAGGATGCATTCAGTTGATCAAAAGTGACAGTAAAGACATTTATAATGTTACAAAAGATGTCTATTTCGACAGCTGCGCATCACAGAAATAAATTACAGTTTAACAGATATTCACATAGTAAACAGCTGCTTTGAATCATAATAGTATTTTACAATTTTTCCTTTATTTTTGATCAAATAAATGCAGCCTGGATTAGCAGAAGAGATGTCTTTCAGAAATATGTGTTGAGTGAGTGATCGTGTTTGTCTGCTGGTGTTAGATTTTTTTATTTGTATATATATATATATATATATATTACATTTTTCTTTAGTATTTATTATTTTTATTCATTAGTTTTAGTTAATATGTTGCCTTGGCAACTAGCTGAAATAAAATAACTGTTTTAATTCTTACAATTGTTTATAATCAGCCACACCAGGTTGGTTTGTTTACTTGTTAAATTACATATGTATATATATATAGAGAGAGAGAGAGCAAGGATCAAATTTAATTTTGATATTTTCTGGTTTTACTTTAATTTTTAGTTAAAGTTTTAGAAATTTTGTAGTGTTTTTGTCATTTTTATTAGTTTTTTTTAAATGTCTGTAAAATATTTAATAATATTTATTAGTTTTATTTTGTTTGTTATTTCAGTACTTCAAGTTAACTAAACAAAAATGAGAATTATCAACTAGCTGAAATAAGTTTTTTATATTTTATTTTAGTTATCTTAACGTTTATTTTATTTTTTAAGTAACAATTATGTTTTTTTTATGGTTTCAGTTTTAACAAAAATAACCCTGCTTTAAAGCTGGTGTGTGATTTGTGAAAATAACTAGACTTTTCCAGTTTTTTCTCTCAGTAACTTCACACAGTCAGACTCACTGAAGGTCCTGTGGATCTTCCAGGACTCATGAACTCTGTGACTCAGTGTTGTAGACTCAGACTGGTTCTTGTTTGTTTGTCCCCGTGTTATAATCAGAGGCTGATGAAACGAGCGCATTCCAGCATCACGTCTGGGCCTGTTTGTGGCTTTTGTTTCCCATTAAATATTTTTTCAGAAGCTGATGAAGGATCTGCACTGGCCTCCACATTCCTCCGGGACAGACAGACAGACAGACACACACACACACACACACACACTCTGACTCTGAATCAGGTCATCCCATACACTTCTGTTGTTTTATATACAGATAGATATAAGTGCTATAACCCAGGATTTCCCAATCTTTTTTGTCAGCCGAACCATTTGAGCTTAAATAAATTCTTGGCCCACTGAAATTTTAAGTTGATATTTCACTAATTTAACAACACATTTGCATGTTTATGATCCTCTGATGTCAGTTACTGGTGTCATGACATACAGGTAAACAATTAAAATATGTTTTAAAATATAGTACAAATACAAATAAATATTTTTAGAAATGTTTGTTTTTTTAATTTTTTTATTTAAAAAATATTTATTAATTAATTTGAAATTTTTATCATTTAATTCTCTTTAAAATGTATAAACCCAAATTTTTGAAACACTGCTGTAACTAGGGCCCTTTGAAATCTGTTGTAATTTTCCCCCATTTTTTCCCCATTTAAATGTTTAAATTAAATTTTTGTAATGAAAAAACGTCAAAATAATTAAAATTGTGAAACTTCAACTATTTAATAATTTGTGAAGCTTTTTACAATAATATGGTCCTATTAAATGTTTTCTTTTTCAGAAAATCTGTTTTTTTTCCCCAAATTCTGTGTTTTCGATTTAAATTCATCTGGATTCTGTTTTAATGGTTTAATTAAGTTGTAGCTATCAAAAAGCATGTTTAATCAATTTAATTCATAAAGCTTAAACAATTTAATAGTTAATTAGCATTTTTACAATAATAGTACCCTATGAAATTTATTTTTTGTTTTAATTTATTATTTAATGCAAATTATTATTACATTTTACTATTATATTATATATACTATTTCTATTATTATTACATATTATTATTACATTGATTTAAAAGCAGTAGTAATAAAATGATGGCATAAAACATTAACAGTTTAATAATTGTTTTGAAATGTAATCAAATGAAAATGTAACAATTCCTTTTATATTTTAGCAAACAAAAACTTGGTTTACTGTTCAAATGGAAGAACATGGAAGAAAAATGCTGTAGCATTCCTTTAAAAAATGTAATATTAATATTATTGTTGTTGCTTTTTCTACTACAGTATTATATTTTGTATTATATAGTATTGTATTTCTGTCACAATTTCTTCACGTTAAACCAAGACAAATCTGTGCAGAGACATGCAGAACATGCAGACTTCATATTAAATTTCATTCATATTTCATCAATATGATTTACTGTTTATTTCTGTGAATCTGTATTGTATAAATCACTATAGAGATGACTGTGACTTTATACAGTCGCCCCTCCTTCATGCTCTCTGTTCTCCTCAGGAGCTTTGAGCATCATTTAATATCCTGGTTCTCCGGCGCTTCATTAACGGCTCATGAGTTATTACTAGTGTAATTAGTTTCTCTCCACACACTGAACATCTGAACACATGCACACCGCTGCTGGAGAAATGGAAAATAAATTATTCAATAAAACTGAGAATTCAGCATGTCAAGATCCACAGAATCTCCACACAATTCATCAGTCACAATCATTTATTTCTAAATATTATCTTTGATTATTTTCTTTTTAATTATAATTGCATTTGGAAAGAGTTTTGCATAAATGTTTACATTAATTACAAAGTGTAGTGTTTTAATTAGATCATGTTTTCAGTTAATAGTGTGGTGCTTTCAGCTCTGGTTAACATATTTTACCATATTTACATCTGCTTGCAGAGTTACACTGAATTTTCCCACAGAGAAATTATGAAAATAGTATTTCAATCATGACAACTCTCGGAAGATTTTAGCATGGTGCAAGGTAGTGAGCTCATTGGCTGCATATGCAGCATGAACCAATCAGCTTGTGCCAAGTCGTTTAACTCTCTGAATATCATCGGTTACGTTAACACCCCGTCAGAATCCGCCATCTAGAGTTTCATGACTAAACTATATATTTATATTGTATGTGGATCTGAACATACATTAGAACTGTGGTACATCATTTAGTGAATACTGTGCTATATGATCATGGCAGGAGAGCAGGCGGGTGAAGAGAGCATCACACAGATCCTGAAGAAAGCTCACGACAGCAGAAAGACGGCAGAGATTGCCGCTAAAGATCTCCTGACGCGTCTGGATGGCAGCTGCGGAGCTGCGTTTGCGGTCAGCGGCTGCAGTGTCCAGCCCTGGGAGAGTCTCTCATCCAATAGCCACACCAGGTGAATTCATTCATTCTGCCGAATTCTTTTTTTTGATCTTTTAAAGGGGTCATCGGATGCCAATTTTCCAGAAGTT